GTCTTATGTATATTCAATTTTATAGTTTTATTACTAATAAAAAAAGCAAAAGTAAACCTTTCAATGATTTATGATTTTATTTGAGATAAATATTAATAATCAATAATGAAGAAAAAAAGTATTATAATTACTATTTGAGAAACATCATTACACCAATAATAAAAATATGATGTAAAGAAAAAAAGGTTAAAAAATAAATTAAAAACGTCCAGCGTATGTGTTTACGCCCAGGACTTATGTTTTTATGCTCAGGGCAAACACCTCAAATTTTAGGACTTACTCCTTATGGATCTACGTCTTTAATTTACGCCCAAAGCATTTTTGGTACGCCACGCCCCAAGATTCGCCCCAAAAACGTTTTTGAAAACACTGATAGTGACGATTAGTTTAAATATATCCAATAAATCGAAAACATTAAAAAATCGTTTAAGCTATTTTGAAATTTATCTTATACTTAATATCCAATAAATAGAAAATGAAATTCCACAAAAGTTTCTCACATGCTAAAAAAAATAATCAAATAACTTTTAAAGCATATTTAAAACCTCAATATATATTAAAAGCGGTGTGAAAAATATGACTCATTTAAACTTAACAAGCATATCAAGGAAATGATTCCCTCAAGATTTAGATTGAAAAAATGTGTTCATATTTGTCAAAATAATAAAAGAAACTCAATGATTATTTTGTACCACTCTTACTTATTAGACTAAAAGAAAAAGGAAAATGGTAATTTATTTATTTAGAAATCAAACATAAATAAATATCTTGAACAGGTAATAAATCGGGAGAATTATATTTGGGCTTTTTCCAAAACATTACACCAAGGGCCCAATTATTGAGAGGCTTAGGGTTTCTGTTTGCAGCCCAAAGTTCAAAATAATTTGAATTTCCGCTCCAACGGTCACATTGACAAGGGTTCTTTCTCTGCACCCACACGAGTATATATATCCCTCCTTTTTCTCACCATTGTCAATCCAATTGCTTCTCAGAAATCCCTTTCCCCCTCCCCCTCACAATCGTAGATCGATTTCCTGTTTCATTTCAGCAGCAGAGATGGATTTCCACAGCCTCGCAAGGAGAGAATTGCAAGCTCTTTGCAAGAAGAACAAGATCCCAGCTAACTTGACCAATGTTGCCATGGCTGATGCTCTTCAATCTCTTGAATTTGTAAGTTTTCTTAAATCTAAATCTGATAACTCTGTTCCTGTGTTGTAGAATTTATGAGTTTTATTTGAAATGAAAATGAAATCAGTAGCATTTCTAATGGTTACAGTAGGAAGAGGAGTTGCCGGTATCTGCCAATATTTTTGTTGTTGGATCGATTCGGTTTACCTCATTTCACTTGCAGTCACCTCTTTCGAGTTTCTAAAATCAAAATCATTATTGAGTTTGTTTAAAATGAATATAAATAAGCAGCATTTCATTTGGTTACACTAGGAAGAGGAATATCTGTATTTGATTCGATCTGCGAGTATTTTGTTTATTGGATCGATTTGTGAATCGATTAATCTCATTTCATTTGCAGTCACCTTTCTCGAGTTTGTTAGTTTTTTTCATTCAAAACCATTGCTGAGTTTGCTTAAGATGAAATACAATAAGCAGCATTTCAAATGGTTACATAGAACGAGGAATATCAGTTTACTGATTCGATCTGCAATTTTAATTTTTTGTTGGATCGATATGTAAATCGGTTTATTCATTTCACTTGCAGTCACCTTTATGGTACCAAGTTTTTCCCAGCTTATATTTTGTGGGCATTGGCCCTTAACCTTCAGATAATTTGAGAATGTGAGGAAGCTGTGGACTGTAATTTCTATACTAAAAACTCATTCCTGCTTGTTGGATTGTGTGAACCACCTATTAATTCCCCCGCTGGATTCCTATAGCTGCTAATAACATATTTACTTAATGTTTACCGGATAGTACATTGACATTGTACATCAGAAAGGAAATTCAGAAATGTTTCTATATGCAGGTTGATGGTATTGAAGAGGTCTTGAAAACATGTGAATCTGATGTTGCCAACCCATCCATGGAATCCCCTGGAAAGTCAGAAGCATTAGCAAGTGTACCTCGGACTGGTCGCCGAACTACACAACGAAAGACAATCAAACATGACTCAGAAACTTTGCAGACCACGACAAGGAGTCACTGCAGAACAAGAGGAACAGTGGTAAGAGACGTTGATGAAGCCAAAAATGATATGCTGGAGACTCCTGCATTGCCAACTACCAGAAGGAGGGCTGCAACAACTTCAGTTCGTGCTAAGCTGGAATCTGCAATGAAGGAATGTGAACCAAAAGTGGAAATTGTGGATCCGGTTGAGGAAGAAAAGAAAGATGTTCCAAAGACACCAGCAGCTGCTCTCACTAGCCAAAGAAAGGAAGTGAAGGCAAAGAGTTCAGTTAGGCAAGTGTACAGCACTCGTCGATCAGTGAGGTTAGCTGGGAAACCTATGCAGGAATCAAGCACTCAAGAGGATGAAAAGTCAGGAACCCTTACGTTTGATGCAGTTTCTGAAGAAACTGATGAAAGTTTGGAGGTGAACTCTGACCTGCAATCTGCTCACAAGTCTGAAGAATTAGACAAAAATGGTAATGTCCGCAAGCTCATGTAATCCTTTACCTTTTTCTTTTTCATGAACATCACTTGATCTCAGATCTGACTTGGCAACTATGCTACAGGTATTGATTTGAAATCATCCAAGAGTTTGGACATGAAGAACAAATCAGATACCGTGTCAGTTCAAGATTCAAATACCTTGGTACAAAATAAAATAGACATGGAAGATGGTGTTCAACAAGACAGTGCTAATGATCTGGAAGTTGTTGTCTTAGATACAAAAGCAAAAGAGGGCTCAGAGGAAGTAGCACTTGGCTGCAATAATGATGGTACGTATTGCTGTTCTCGGGGTAGAAAGATTTGAGGAGATGGCATCTGTTCTTCTGTGTACTTTTTGTATCAATTGTCTTATCACCATCTCTGTCGTATGAAATCCTATGTAATACTTAGTGATCATTAAATGAAATTGTTTTTAGGATCTGGAGAAGAACCCATGGAAGAATCTGAAATTGTTGCTGAGGCTAAAGAAGAAATAGATTTTCAGAACAAAAGCCAGAACTTGGGTGATGATCCCAAGAGTAATTCAGATATCACAAAGCAGCCTAATAGACAGGATGAGCCCCATGGTGATACATCTGATTTTATGGCAGAAAATGATGGGGAGGAAGAAGGTCATTTTGATTCTGATGTTGCAGGAAAACAAGAGTTGATTGGAGAACAACCTGTAGCTGTAAGTGTCAATCCAGACACTAACATAGATTTTCACGAGGTGGATTTGTTTGAGCAATCCAATGGTGAGGAAGAGGCTAAGATGCGTGCAAGTCAGCAGAAGTGTGTGACTAACATGCAAGCTAACATAGATTTTCTTGAGGTGAATTTGTTCGAGCAATTCAATGGTGAGGTCCAGGCTAAGGTGAGTGGAAGTCAGCAGAAGTGTCTGACTAACATGGAAGATGCAGGAGAAGTTGCTGGAGAAGAAGAACCCATGGAAGAATATGATGTTGATTGTACTGAGGCTACCATGGATGCACCAGCTGATGCTCTGGAAGTTGCTGGAGAAGAAGAACAACCCATGGAAGAATTTGATGTTGATTGTTCTGAGGCTAACGTGGTTGCACCAGCTGATGCTCTGGAAGTTGCTGGAGATGATGAATCCATGGATGACTCAGAAATTGATTATGCTGAGGCTACTGTGGAGAGTGCAGCTCACAGTCTTCCACCCTTGCCTCTCATTTCTAATGCTGCCCCAGAACCAGTCATCACTTTGGCACTGGATACTATGCAAAATCCTTCTGCCTTGACAAGCACAAATTCAGAACTCATCACTCAGACACCAGTTGAGAATTCATCAGCAGTGACAAGCATAGGACAGATGCTTGTTACAGATAACAAGGAAAACTTGGTTTGTACGAAAGAAAACAAAGGCACTGCTGGCAATAACTTGCAAAATTTAAGCTTGAGGAAGCTTACAAAAATGTTGAAAGATTTAAAGATCTCAAAAGATCCTAGTGGAAAGGAGGTAAGAACAACATCAGCTAATATTCTTTTTCATTCATGTGTATTTTTTTAACTTGTGGTTATAGATGTTTAAATGTGGAGTATAATTGAAGTGTTTTTTCTATTCACAGGCAGTAAACTCAAGATCAGCCTTGCAAAAAGTTCCAGAAAACCGTTTGACGAGTGAAAACGAAAATTGAAGCTCATAATAGGGGCAGACCATTCCGCCTGCCAGTAAGATGGAAGATTGAAGCTTTGCAAACCTTCTTGATTTGCTACTTTTGAGACATCAAAATTTACTATCCCTGTTGTTTTTGTATTCCTTCAGTTATTTTTCAATACTTATATGAAAAAAAACAAAATTACTCATATGATGATGTAATCCACCAAACTTCTCTTCAATTCACCTGAATTATTCTCTTTGTCAATTAGATCTTTGAAACTCAAATTGAATAAAAAACTTGGACACTTAGCAGTTGCAATCTGTAGCTTCCTTTTTATTTTCAACTTTTGGCAGAGATTAAACATTACATTGTCAAAACAACTTTTCTGCAATTGTAACTCAATAAGAAAGCGCGAAGGAAGGAAAAAGATGTGCACTATTCGAAAAGGTTCAAGAAACTAATTGCCTAAGGCAAAACAATAGAAAAGAACCATGTCTTGTATAAATGTGAAGTTCTCCCGAGCTATTTCTAAACATAGTAGTGCAGGTTATGTGTGTCCTCTTTAAAGTGCCATAACACTGAAAAGTTAACATTTAGATATGCTCTAAAGCCCTTTTCATCAAGAATTAAACACCCTTCAAGTAGTCAAGTGAGATCCTTCCACAATATTTCCAGAAACATCATTTCAATGCAACACAACTGAGAAATGTTGATTTCACTTTTAAGTATATGGAGTCTTCTATAAAAGCATAATGGGATTATAAACCTAAAAGGTTTAGTGGAAAAGAGAATTTTCATAAAAGTAGAAAGACAATTATCTCAGTTGATACCACATGTTTCCTTGTAGATAAACTGTTCCACAAGAACACATGCTTAGAGGCAAAAACGGGAATGATAAGATACATATAGGGACAAACTTTTCATGAAGCAGGGTGGATCAATTTGGCATGCTTGTTAGGGAGATCATTAATCACCTATTTCATGTGGAAGTATACATACTTAAAATACTACAGTAGGTATCAACAGACACAATTCTCGTGTACGGGGAAGACCAATTGCAACGCCCACATTTTCAGCATACAGCAGAATCAAAAATCAAGCTTCACCCTAGATCAGAGGATTCCACTACATAAAAGCACAGACCCGAAAGAACAAGTAACAATGTTCAATGTGAGTTCAGGCGTTTAATATACAGACGGCAGGGTAATCAGCTTTGTCCCTCAAATAGGTTCTTAGTAAGCCTGCAAAAGCAAATTAAAGTTAGATCAACAGGTTAGGGATGACTGCGGCAATCTTGAAGACATAAAAGCCAAGTTGTAGACCTGATCAATCAGAAGGCTGAAGTCCCCACTGAAGAGTACCCAGCAGCCTTGAGATCTTTCAAAGTGCTTGATAACCAGTCTAGTCCCTCATATAGACCATCCCCTTTAAGAGCACATGCACCTTGTATATGCCATTTCCGGTTTTTAAGATCATAAAGACCGAGGCCTTCACACACTTCCATTGGAGTCATTGCTCCTTTCTGGACCAAAATTAGGGGAAAAAATAAACAAAGAGGATCAATATGATAAAAAATTTATCTACCTAACATGAGATGAGAAAATGGAAAGGGGATAGAGGGGACATTTGATTTGCCTCTTTTACATTATATGAAGTTCCATGTATATGGGTGTGCTTCTTTTAATATTGGTACGTCTAGGAGAGGCTTAAAAGTGATTTGCCTCATGCCCACAAATTCTTTTAGATAGAAAACTAATGTTGATGGGCAAAAGCCCCTCCAATTTCATTTCCTAACAACATCAGAAGGGTTAAAGGTAAATGACAACCAAAATGAAAAAAAGGAAGATGAGAGGACTAAAGGTAAATGATAACCATCCTCCTTTTACTCCACCTACCAAGCTTTATTTTGCTTAGCAGTTGCAGTCCAAGAGAAAAGTGGCATAAACAGAGACCACTCGCATAATAAAATTGAGATGCAGGTTATGGTGTGAGTCAGAAAGCTCATGATTGGGAATTCAGAAATATTTATGTTAAATCAAGACATCACGTAATTTCCGAATCATAACTAAGAGAGAAATACATAATAATAGCAGACTACACTATAATAGCATTCTTAAGCTTTAGACATCAATCTTTGTAAAACTAACTCCGACAAACAGAACATAGTACAGCACATTGAGTAAGAGTGTAAGCTCTGCACCACTATAGTAATATTTTTTAGTATTACTAGCACAGTTAAAGACCTTTGGGCCACGCCCCTTTCACTAGTTTAGGATTTCCTGCAATTACCAAGCGGTTTGGTTAATCAAATAGCCTTTGGTTACAAGTCACTTTTGTGTTCCTATTGAGGGAAAAGCAGCTGCAACACATTGTCTTAATCCTGCAAAGCTAGTTGGTTTTTGTGGCAATCTATTAGTATTCACCTGACTGTTTACTCTGTTAACTGCTGCATCATCTTATTGCTGCAGTTAATGGGAGCTTGAACTATCTACATGGAAATTATCGTTTGTATTTTTGCACCTTAAACAAATAAATATATAGACAAAAACTAGTAGAGATTCCGAACAAAGAGTAAACCTTGGGGGATATATACTGATATGTAATCTATATCATTCTTCTCTTGTAAGGCCAAGTTGCTATTTCCTGTCATAACCTTATTTCTTGATGGAAAAATTCCACGGGCCATTGCCCTTGGCACCTTTCCCCACCATTCCTTTTGGATAAACATACGTAGTCTGTTTCCATGATTCAATCAATCCATCAACTATTCCTCAATCCCAGAACCAGTTGGCTTTCAGCTATATGAATTGTTTATATCCACTACGCTTTAATCAAATCCATTTCATTCTTTACTTATAATTAGTAAACAAGACAAAATTGAATACATTTTGTTCGAACAATTAGAGGTTCTCTAAATCCACACTTATCTTTATACTGCCCTACACAACTTTACTCAAACAAAAAAGACTTCTGGCAACATCACGGTTTTATTGAAAATAACAATGGCAGGTTTTCTAAAGCTTGATATTCTCTAATCCCACACTTATTTCTACACAAGTCTCAAACCCTATTAGAAACACTCCCGACAACAATTAAACCTTCATTCCAACTAGACTTAATTTAGGAATATGTTAGACCTTCGTGGCAGAAATTTCACTTTCATAAAAAGCTGTTGGTCTCGCAACCACTTCATAGAACTGATATTTCACTTTATGTGGGATCCACTGATTGTATAATACTGTTATAGTACTCATCCATTTCAGTCATCTTATTCTAATTCCATGCATTTCATTTTTATCTAACAAACCATTATCCTAAAATATGGAATCTGAATATCTGACTTGTCTGCATTTAAGTATCCCAAATAGTTTGATTATTATGACGGTCTACTTTGGAAAGGTTTTGGTGGAAAGGAAAAAGGAGTTATTCCTAGGTGAACAGGAAGGGGTATGTCTGTTCCTTAGTTCTTGAATTAGTATGCTTCGGTGAAGGTGAGGTAAAACAACATGAGCGTCTACCTCATGAGATATGGATTCCACCACACCATTTTTGTTTTCACTAATCAAGTACCAGAATACATCAAGCATCAGCTGTGGATCACACAGAGGGAAGCTTAATAAACAACAGCATGTCAAAGCTTACAAAGGCCAGGACATAGGATCTGATAATAAGCACGATAAGGTCTGCAAAATCTTTGAGTATCTTTTGCTTTTTTGATAAAAAGGTAACTTTTTATAAAAGCAGCACTAAGAAAGTCAATATCTTAAGAGTATCTATTGTCTGGGATTTATTTAGCAGTATTCACCGATTAGTTTATCCTCCAACAGTACATAAAGAGAGAACAATAGATAACAAGTAACTAATTGTATTTTGTCGATGCACAAACCCACTGATATCACAAACTTACCATGTCCTGCTTGTTAGCGAAAACCAAGATGACAGCATTAAGCATAAATGGATCTCTAATGATCGCCTGAAACACATTAAGAATGAGATTTAGGTAGGTAAGTGACCATTGTACCTGGGACAAAGAGATAAAAAGTTCAAAAACAGAACCTGAAACTCTTGCTTTGCCTTTCCGATTCTCTCTCGATCCAAAGAGTCAACGACGTAAATCTGTAAACAATAAAGCACTTAGTAAACAGAAATAACCATTTTACAAAGACAGGATGCAAGCAGTTAAAGGCAGTTCACATAAAATGGAAAATGTAGGTTTGATTTTTAAGGCATTCAGTAATGATGGTTCAAATGGTCTATCACGTTAACACATTTTCCCATTTAAAATTTCTTATTACCCTTCAGGAATTAAGCTTCCTATGCGACTTCTAGGTAATAGCACCTATGAGAAAAAACGAGGGAAAATTCATCTTTTCCTATGGAATCTAATGACACTAAAATTAAAATCAACAGTAGATGTGTATTAGTCGACACGGATACAATCTAATATATATAGCTTTACCAGTCCATCTGTGTTATTGAAGTAATGCCTCCAAAGTGGCCTTAATTTCTCTTGTCCTCCAACGTCCCACACAGTAAAAACCACATTCTTGTACTGCACTTTTTCTACATTGAAACCTGCATGCCGTGCATATACAATCAGCTATTACATATACAGGTATTCACTTGGTCTCATAGGTGTCCAATACATATATCTGCAAAACTATGTGATATTCCAAACCGGAAGCAATTTCCATTGCAAGATTTGAGATTCCAATTTTGCGCCTTCTGCAACCACTATAATGTGACCTTATGTGATGGCCTCATAATTACGAAGAGAATAAAAGGACTTATATCCAGTCAGAGAATTAGAAAAGAAAAAAGAATAATTTGGTTGATGAAGTTTTTACCTAACTCTAGCATGGCCTATCAAAGTACCTTCTTTGTAACAAAGCAACCATATCTTTTAGATGTTGGTGCTTCTTTTTTTATAAAAAATATTGCATGACATTGATAGGTCTTTTTCGGTAAGTCTATTGATAGGTCATATTGCAATTACTTGAAACTTCAAATTCATCAAGCAACAAGTAATTAAAAGAACTCAAAGTTGTCAGGTCGACAACAATATCAATGCAAGCAGATTCATAACTGAACCAATGAAACATTAAAGTGCCACACCACTGCGAGCGAGATTTTAGAAATAGCATACCAATAGTAGGAACTGTGGACAGAACTTCTCCTATATGCAGCTTGTACAATATAGTTGTTTTCCCAGCCGCATCCAGCCCTAGCATCACAACCTATACCAAGCAAATCATAGTAAACACAGCAGAAAGGGATAAGATTAAAACAAAAAAAAAAATTGAAAATGGTAATTGTGAAAGGCATAAGATAATTAATTACACATACAAGAAGAATAATCTGCTAAGAAAATAATCAGAGACAAAAGGCGTAGTGAACATAAGGCAATGGCCTATGAGAGCTGATGGATGGATGATGAGAAATAAACATCAGTTCATCATAAACCTGCTACAACAATCCAACCATTTGTAGTAATCATTTTCATTACAGAGCAGGCAAAAAGTCATTGCAGAAAGAAAATTAGTTTTCCTCCAAGAAAATCTCTGTTCCCTTCCCCAAGTCCCTCCCTATGCTGTAGTCAGTAATGTGGGCACCACATTAGTAGACTAAAAACATACGGCAGACATGATATATGTGAGATAGTACTTCATACAAATTCATGATGATTACCTATCTGAAAAGATTTTATAAGGATGATGGAAAAGATGAGATGATCTTTGACACATTGAAGGTTTCTATTGATCTCTATCTCTACTGATCTAATGATGGCCATTTTAGAGGCCTTTCGTTGAACTGGGAGGTCACTGAGCAATATCAAGCCACTTGGTAGCTGGCATTCTGCACTATGCAGAAATGGAACCTAGAGGAGAAGGAATGGGGTTGAAGGAAATGGGGCTTTACTTTTTTATCCCACCTACATAGGACATGAATGGGTACTTCTAGCTTATTTTCACCGGTTCTTCCCGAAATAGCTTCAGTATATATTCTTTTCTATTTTGATGTCAATATACCCACTGCAATCCCACAAGTTGGGTCAGCCAGTGAATTGCAGACCAAGTTAACATTAGTTACAGGCTTACAGCAGTGCATTTACCTGAAGTCGTAAAGGAAGCAACCTAGCAACTGCACTTATGCGCAAGAACTATCACTAACAGCAATGCGCCAAAAGGAAGAAAACAGTAATATGCAAATGAAGAAAAGAGTGACCAGTAATCTTGATATATGGAAATTGACCAAAATAAAAGGAACAGAATTGCCATTTGTTATGAGAGCATCCCGTATCTGTTTCCAACAGACAATTTTCTTTTAAGACACCTTTATTTAATTTTATTCTCTATGTGCATTTTACTCAATGTGTTCCCTCAATGGCAATTTTAACTGTCAATAGTTGGATCATGGATGCACAAGGAAATCAACTCCAAGTTCTCCGACTCACATACAACGGACATATCATTTCATAGGTTGGTGTACTCTAAATATGATACAGTTCAAAGGAGCCTATACAAGACAGTGAAAACTAATGCTGCTCTGTTGAGAAAAATCACAATATACAATTAATTTTAAAAACCCAGGACTAATATTTTTGCAGTAAGCTGCATGAAGAAGCTTTAAAGCTAAATTCAACTCCGCATATCACATTCAGTCCTCAACAGCCTTAAAAATGCTTATCAGTCAATTTCCTCAAAAGGATATAGCCAGGGTGTTATATGCTCAAGATGTAATACTTCAAGCACTAGCGTCCACTCGGGAATGACCAAAAAAGGAAATGCTAAATGACGGAGTGGAAGCTATTAAGTAGTAAGGGAATGGAGGAACTCGTCTTCAAACCTTCGGAACAGAAGATCTTAAAATAATAGATGATATTCATATGGATTTAGTCAGAGCTCCAATGTGGGTTCCGGACACAAGATGGGAAACCAAAAAAAAATTAAAAAAAATCATAAGAAACATTCACAACTATTTATAACTCCTACCCCTAAATTCCTTATCCAGACAAGAATCTTAATTTAGCTAAGACTACTAAAGGTAGACAAGATTCTTAATTAAGGCAACAGTCCAATAGCTAAAACAGGAAAACCCAAAATAGCTTAACTTATTGCCTCTTAACTCAACCCAATCAAAGGTCAAGGTCACTTAAAGTTCACACCGTTGTTTAAAAAAATTATGTAAATTAAGTAGACATTCCTAGAGAAGTGAAATAGGAAAAGTATGTGAAACCCATTATCTTCAATGAGCTAAGAAGAAGCCCCACAAACTCTAATTGGCAAAACCATAAGTGATCATTTCCAATAACATATGAACAAACAAAAATAGAAAGAAAAAAAGGGGTGGAGAGGAAAAGGGTGTTTTGAGTAATGGCATACCCTCATCTCAGAGTTGCCGAAGAAAGTATCAAATAGCTTGCGAAAAGCTTGTCCCATTACGCCTTTTGCCTTGTCTCTTCTTCTTCTTCACTCCTTTTTTCGTTTCTCCAAAAGCGAATCAGATGAAATTGGAGAGTGAAACGTGAAGGATCCAAGTTAGAGAAGCTAATCTGTTACTACAATTTGGTGATCTGAGAAACTTTAAAACTTCATACTTTATTTGATGATGATCGATTTGATAAATATGGAGAAGGTAGCGTTGTTTTTCCTTCGTTGCTGCAACTTTTCTGAGCTTCTTTCTGTATTTTTTTTTTCTCTTCTTTTATTTTTATTACTGTAGTATTTATTTGTTTATTTAAAAAGAAAAAAAAAAGAAATTTATATTCCATTGTTTTTAGCCCTGGAAATGGAATATTTTGGAAGTTGCAAATACTGGGAATTTTTTGGATCAATTCTTTCTTTGGTTTAATATATTTTTTAATCTCTCTTGTTTTGTTGTGTCTCCCTTCATTTTGTGAAGGTAAACATTTATTTTCCTCAGTAAATAGTGCTACTAATGCAAAATCATATGATTGGAATATACTAATTAGTCGAAGGGTATATTCATAAGTTTTTTCTATTTATTTACTACTAATACTAGAGTTGGTTAGATATTTGAAGATCAATATTCTTATTAAGAAAATATATTCAATCAAACTGATTCTCTATTCATAGTTAAGTCCTCTCATAGTTTCAATTTATGCTATTATTTTTTTATTAGTTTGCTATAAAAATTAATATATTTTTATAATAAGAAATAATTAATTCTACATTTTATCCTAAATAAGAAACTCATATAAACAAACAAATGTTATATCATAAGTTCCAGAAAAATTTATATTCACATATACGCTATAACACTTTTAAGATCATAAATTTAAGGGAAAATTGTGATCATTTTATCTAATGTAAAATTCATGTCAATCCAAATTATATCACAACGAAAATAGAGGAAGCAGATGTTGTTAGTTTGATTCAGCCCTCGGCAGCCAATGACTTCAAGAACGTCAAAAGAAAAGGAGGAACTGTTGGGAAGCAATGAGACCAGAATTAGTAGTGCAAATAGAATATCCATTAAACCAACTAAGGAACTCACATATACAGCAAGTTAAGTGTAATAAATTGGGTGCAAACTGGATGAATCATCCAGTTATATATTGCTCCAACAAATAAGATATCTGAACCTGCAGAATAAATGAGATACAAACATTGGCTTTCTCAAAGCATCAGTTTGTGGCAAGTTCCCTTGCATATCTCTAACCAAACGAAAACGATTTCTGGAGTACTGGTCAATGCCTGTACAGTGTACACATTACAGCTACTCTCAATGCTGAAGTAAGGAGGCCAATTCAACAGCCTGTCTGATGTCCGACAGAGTTTTTGGTTTGAAATTGGCACTGATTTATGATACAGATAGCACAAATAGAAGTGTGTTGTATGTTAATAGTTCAACTGTTCAAGGAATGAACACTACTATTATTATGCATTCAAGGCTAGAGATGAAATGGTCACACGATCACACAGCTTAATTTTCTAATCGAATGTGTCAACTCCGGAGGGTTCAGCATATACTTGATACTGATATCAGATGTTATCCTGAAAACGGAAGAAACTTACTCCTACTCGGTATTTACACCAACCCTGGAATGGAGACAGCAAGGCTGAAGATCCAGAGTCTTCTTGAATGTATGAATCAGGCTTCATCTCACTTTATTCAGTTCTTCCCTCATCTCAGTTTCCTACTTGAACATAAAATATCTTGTGCTAAAATTGTTGTACCTGTTTACCTAGTTTGCTAATGGACCGTTAAATGAAGATGTGAAATTGGAACTCTGCAGAGATACAAGAGTTCGAGATCATCAAGAAAGGAACTTGCAGAAGAAAGAAATCATCGATTTCTTGACACCTGCAATACAACTATTTCCAGATCACTAGAGAAAATACAACCAACAAATCCTCTGGTGAATTCCATTGTTCAGCAGCCATTCTAACTGGATGATTACAACTGCACTTTATCTACAGATGATCATTCCTTAAATATCTGCACCTGCAGCCTGTCCATTTTGAGCATTCTCTAATGAAATTGCTTTTCCCTTGCTCTCAGAAACTTTTGCACCATCTGCTGCTTTCTGGGTCTTTGAACTCTGTAGAAGCTTGAGCTGGTTTTGCAGAGCCTAGATAAATAAATGTAGATTCCATAGGTAAATATATGCATACATGCATATATATATGTGTGTGTGTGAGAGAGAGAGATCGAATAAGCAAAAAGTTAACCCAAGAAAAGAAACGCTAAGAAGCAATCTTAAAAATGAGAATCCAATCCACTAAAATGTGATCTTATACAGGGTGAAGGCTATACATCAATTTTCAGAGCTGTATGGTCCACACTTATCTCAACCCTAACAGCATATTAAATACATCCCACCCCTCCTTCAAAGAAAAATGTTGAAAAAGAGAATAGAACAATCAATGTACTGAGTTTGGCCACCAAAGTTGCAAAGTAACCATTTTTATTTTTATTTTGATAACCGAGAAATCCGTCTGTGACCCACCCTTTGGACCAATCACAGGTTGCAAAGTAACCATTTAAAAAGGAATTTTGCAATTTTCTTCGATAAACATCACCCACCCTCAGCCCTCCCCTCCCTCCCTCTCTGAACTTCCACAGAATTTCATCTGAGGTGATTTGTTCTACCAACAGAGCTGAAGTCCCATTCCAAAAAGAGAATAAACTTTAAGAACTTCAAAGTATTTTAAGACAAATAGAATAATTGAACTTGTTGAAGTGTGTGACCATCTCATTTAAAAACTTAAGTTATTAGAGAGATCACACTTTTATTTACTTAATTATATTATTAACGTATCCCCTCATGTGCGGGCTTGATTTTTTTTTCATAGGCCAAGCACGTGGAAATTCTTTTTGATAAGTGATAACGGGTGGTAGTGAGACTTGAACCCGGGACCTTCGCCTGCTCTAATACCATGTTGGATGTGTGAAAAACTTCATCGAAAAGCTTAAGATATTAGAGAGATCACACTTACATTTACTTAATTCTATTTTCAACTGAACTAGAAATTATCTCAATGATGATTAATGCATATTGAAATTAGCAATATCATCAACAAACATACAAGAGAGATACCAATTAACCAGACAAATGTTCATACCTCACACTGCTGCTGTAAGAATATCCTATGGGCCTCGAGCTGAGTATCTGAAGTACTAAGGTTACTCCAGGAACTATCTCCAAAAGGCATGTTAGCACCAGGATATCCTAAAGGACCAAAACTGGTCTGTGGATAGTAAGCAAAAGGCATATTTGCATATTGATGTTGCTGTGGCCATTCATTTGCAGCACTCTCTCTTTCTGAGTCCACGCTGACAGAACTGACTGGTCTGTAGGACGGAGGAAATAGAGCATATCCATGAGACCTGCAAGCATGAGAACAATTAACTAAAGTTCTTTCACTGTGCTTAAAAGAACTACAAATTTGTGGAAATAAAGAAGACAACCATCCCCTTGTCAACTGCCAAAAAAGGGAAGCCACCACCATCAACCTCACTCTGCCTCTACCACTAGTTCACACCACATGACCAAGGAAATATATATTGGAAGTCATTTCCCGTGCAGTTATGGACAACTTAATTAGCAATCATCTGCCTAAGTCAAGGGTTACATGACAAGCCAAATCTCCAAGGAAACTCATTGAATAAGACTGTATCCCACAACATGACAAGTGCTTATGTGAATATCTTCAGAGGATGCCAATGGCATACATTGGATGCTCCTTCAGTTCTAATTTATCTGTACTTTTGAATTTGAAGAGATTGGTATTCTTTAATGTAAATCCAGAAAACAAGTGGGGCTAACAGTTATTACTATAAAAAATTGAGACCAACAACTACTTGTTCTTTTTGAAACTGAAACTGCCAACAGTTACTTGTTCTTAGTGGTTTGAACTTGGGACTTCCATGTTGGAGGTCTCAAGTTCGAAACCCCTTGCCAGCGAAAGCAAGGGGTTTGCCTTCTGGGTCGAGCTCGTCGCACCAGGCTTGCCTAGTGCGGTTTACCTCTCCTATGTGGTTTGCGAGCTATTGCATAGGAGCGGGGGTTTTACCCTGTGCGCACCCAAAGGGTAGCGGCTGCGGGTTTCCCTTGTCATCAAAAATAAATAAATGGAGAGCATGAACCATAATGGGGCATGGAGAAGAATCAACGTAACTATGCATATCAAGGAAGATAATCAGGGAGGTTTAAGCCTTTACATGCACTTCTGGGGGGAAGGTCTCATAAATATGCAAAGAAGATAAGCAATACAATGTTGACATAGAAGAGAAATTATACCGGCTTAGTGTTGGTGCAGAAGGATAAACAAAGGACTTCTCATAAATTGCAGCAGCAGCAACTGCAGCTTGGAGTCTAGCCTGGTGCTGACTAACATAACCGTTTGTCCTAGGGTCTGCTTGGGAACCTCGAGATGTGCTTGCTAAACTCATTCCTGTGCCAATTAGAGATTACCAGAGTGCTTAGTGAATAGATATCATATACATTCGTCACTTTGTACAAAGAATTATCCAAGTCTCTAATAGCCACAAATGATTCCCTCCAAGCATGTCATCTTTAAGATAAGAGATTACAGATGACAATCCACAAGCTGGGACACAATTATTCAGTGTACACCACATGAAATTTCTTCCAAAAAAAATAAGTAATTTTGTTCCACTACAATCATGTAATCTTCACCTATAATCAACACACTTCAGCAGAAGTTTAATGCTCAAAACAGCTTATTACAAACAAATGGATGATTTAACCATTCATCTCAATTCTACTATAGCAAAAAAGCCATGATGAGCAACATTTGGAAAATGAAACATCAATTTCCAGGCGTCATTCAAAATTAACTTATTAAAGTTGATACACAATATAGAGAATAGCCAGTTTTAGGTGATACCTTGCTGAGCATATCCAGATCCAGCAACAGTCGTCCCATTTTCAGGTGGTACAACAAGAGCTCTGCAAGTAGGACACGTGTTCTGACGTTCTAGCCATGACCGGAGGCAATTGACATGAAAGAGATGTCCACAAGTAAGTTTCTTGGCAGTGGTCATCTCCTCACGACAAATGATGCAGATAGTGTCACCTCTGCAGGAACATTAAACATAATCATAATGATGAAGAAAACATATATATACCAAGACTCTAGTTAGTGAGAAACTTACCCATTGAGCTCTTCCAGTGTAGCATCTGGAAAACGATCATTCATATTTGAAGT